TAGACTTGAGCCCCATAAATCCCTGAACGATCTTTTTTGTCTGTATCTGGTTGTTCCTTCTGATCTCCTATTGACCGGGAAATCTTGTTTATTTTTCTTTTTGGCCAAAAAATGCCAGAAGTAACACTTCTGCATTGATATTAAAAGCATGTCATTCATAGCAGCTTCAGCTATGAATCATAACTACATCACCTCAGATTCTTCTGTTTTTAACAGGGTGGTATGCTAACCAAAATAAATAATGTGCCACAAACCGTAATATTCAAATACATAAATTCTTATTAATCTAAATATAGTAGTTTCCAAATAAGGCTATAACTGTTAATATTAAAAAAATTTCCAAAACCAAAGGTACTTGGAATGAATCTCTTGAATGAGATGTTAAGGGAACCAAGTAATATTGTCTAAGGACTTGACTAGACAGTTGGTGGGATACCATATTTTGTCTCCTCCAATTATTTGTACTCTAAAGAGACATGAAAGTCAGTGGAAACATTTCACAGATTATAGCGCTGCTGTTCATGAAGCTACTGTACTCTAACTTACCTAGCATTGTATTTATTGATCCCAAACATTTGCATATATATATATATATACACACACACATATATTCAACTGACCCATACTTTCTTAAGTCTTGAAATGACCTGGGAGTTGCTCTGAGAAATTTACTACAAAATCAGAAGTGAAAATTTTTGTTTGCTGTGCAGAACAAAAAGCACAAACATATTTGCATATTTATTTTTGCATACAGTAACATTAATATATTTTTAATTTGTGATTGATTGGAGAAATAGAAAGTTTCTCGAAGCTGAGAAAGAAATAAGGTCCTCCTCAGGATTATGTAATAGAAAAAGATCCATATTCAGTAAATTAGCATTCCATAACGTGTAAGAAAAGTAACAGAATTTCATCTGTGTATGTCTGGTTATTTTTATTTGCAGCAAACAAAGGATTCACAGAAAGTAAAAGAAAATAACCTGGCAGCAAATACTAAGTCAAATCATAAAAATACCAAATAAAGAGGTGAGATAAAATTAGGTTTTTTGTTCATCTAAAATTCTGACTAATGAGCTGGTTTTTTGGGGGGCAGTTTTCTTTCCCCATTAAATTTACTTTTTCTGAGTAGATCTTGCCCATACATTAGTTAGTTGGCAGATACTGCAATTACCAACAGTTGAGTTCTTTGAGTAGTTACCACAGAAAATTGGTTACACAAGTTAAATCTCAGTTGTATGGTCTAGCACGTATATTCTAGATAGTTCTCTATTCTTTGCAGATAAATTGATTTTCTGGAAAACAATTTTTTTCTCTTTAGAAATCTTCAGGTTGTTCTTCACTGAGAATCATAATCCTATGCATGCTTAGTATGGCACTTCACGTACAGAAATAATCACAGAATCACAGAATTGTCAGAGCTGGAGGGGACCTCTAGAGATCATCTAATCCAACTCCCCAGCTAAAGCAGCATCCCCTAGAGCACATTACTTAGGACTACATCTAGGTGAGTCTTGAATATCTCCAGAGAAGGGGACACCACAGCCTCTCTGGGCAGCCTGTTCCAGTGCTCTGTCACCATCACCATAAAGAAATCTCTCCTCATACTTAAACTAAACTTCCTGTGTTCCAGGTTGTGCCTGTTGCCCCTTGTACTATCACTGGGAATTACTGCAGAGTCTGGCTCCATCCTCCTTGCACCCACCCTTCAGATACTGGTCAACATTCAAGGACCACTTCTTGCAAGCACAGGATCAGAGCGTCCCAATGGTTAGGAAATCTAGTAAGGGAGCTAGGAGACCTGCATGGTTAAAAAAGAAACTGCTGGGCAAACTCAAGTGGAAAAGGAAAATCTACAGATCATGGAAGGAGGGGCTGGTCACTTGGGAGGAATATAGGACTGTTGTCAGAGGATGTAGAAGGCAATTAGGAAAGCCAAGGCCTCCTTGGAACTTAACCTTGCAAGTCAGGTTAAGGATAATAGAAAGGGCTTTTTCAAATACATAGCTAGCAAAACTAGCACTAGAGGCAATATTGGCCCATTGAGGAATGAGGTGGGAGCCCTGGTGACAGAGGATATAAAGAAGGCAGAGGTGCTGAATGCCTTCTTTGCCTCTGTCTTCACTCCTGCAGGGTCTCCCTATGAGCCCCAGATTCATATAGCCCCAGAAGAAGTCAAGATAGAGGAAGAGTTTGACATGGTAGATGAGGATTGGGTTAGGGATCAGTTGAGTAATCTGGACATCCATAAATCAATGGGTCCAGATGGAATGCACCCAAGGGTGCTGAGGGAGCTGGCGGAGGTCATTGCTAGGCCACTCTCCATCATCTTCAGTAAATCATGGGCAACAGGTGAGGTGCCTGAGGACTGGAGGATAGCAAATGTCACTCCAGTCTACAAGAAGGGCAAGAAGGAGGACCCGGGTAACTATAGACCGGTCAGCCTCACCTCCATCCCTGGAAAGGTGATGGAACAACTTGTTCTTGGCACTATCTCCAGGCACATCAAGGACATGGGGGTCATCAAGAGCAGTCAACATGGTTTTATCAAGGGTAAATCATGTTTGACTAACCTCATAGCCTTCTATGAGGAAATTACTAGGTGGATAGATGATGGTAGAGCGGTAGATGTGGTTTATCTTGATTTCAGTAAAGCATTTGACACCGTCTCCCACAGCATCCTTGTAGAAAAGTTGATCAGGTATGGGTTTGGTGATCAGGAAGTGAGGTGGATTAGGAACTGGTTGAAAGGAAGGAGTCAGAGAGTTGTAGTCAATGGGGCAGAATCTGGTTGGAGGTGTGTGACTAGTGGAGTCCCACAGGGGTCGGTACTGGGACCGGTGTTGTTCAACATCTTCATCAACGACCTGGATGAGGGTATAGAATGTACCCTCAGCAAGTTTGCTGATGACACTAAGCTGGGAGGAGTGGCTGACACACCAGAAGGCTGTGCTGCCATTCAGAGAGACTTAGATAGGTTGGAGAGTTGGGCGGGGAGAAACATGATGAAATTCAACAAGGGGAAGTGCAGAGTTTTACATTTGGGGAAGAACAACACCATGTCCCAGTACAGGTTGGGGGCTGAACTGCTGGAGAGTAGTGTAGGTGAAAGAGACCTGGGGGTCCTGGTAGACAGGAGGATGACCATGAGCCAGCAATGTGCCCTTGTGGCCAAGAAGGCCAATGGCATCCTGGGGTGCATTAGAAAGGGTGTGGTTAGTAGGTCAAGAGAGGTTCTCCTCCCCCTCTATTCTGCATTGGTGAGGCCACATCTGGAGTATTGTGTCCAGTTCTGGGCCCCTCAGTTCAAGAAGGACAGGGAACTGCTCGAACGAGTCCAGCGCAGAGCTACAAAGATGATGAAGGGAGTGGAACATCTCCCTTATGAGGAGAGGCTGAGGGAGCTGGGTCTCTTTAGCTTGAAGAAAAGGAGACTGAGGGGTGACCTCATCAATGTTTACAAATATGTAAGGGGTGAGTGTCAGGGGGACGGAGTTAGGCTTTTCTCAGTGATGACCAGTGATAGGACAAGGGGTAATGGGTGTAAATTGGAGCATAGGAGGTTCAAGGTGAATATCCGAAAAAATTTTTTTACTGTGAGAGTGACAGAGCCCTGGAACAGGCTGCCCAGGGAGGTTGTGGAGTCTCCTTCACTGGAGACATTCAAAACCCACCTGGATGCGTTCCTATGTGATGTACTCTAGGTGACTCTGCTCTGGCAGGGGGGGTGGACTAGATGATCTTTCGAGGTCCCTTCCAACCCCTAAGATTCTATGATTCTATGATACTGATAAGCATGAATAAGTTCTCCCTCAGGCTTTTCTTCTCTGGGCTAAGAAGTCCCAGCTCTCTCAGCCTTCCCTCATAAGGCAGATGCTCCAATCCCCCAGTCATCCTTGTTGCCCTCTGCCAGACTCAGAACTGGATGCAGCATTGCAAGAGAGGGGGAGAATGACCCCTCTTGACCTGCTAGCCACTCTTCCCTTACTCAACCCAGGATTCTATTGGCCTTCGTGGCAACAAGGGCACATTGTTGGCTCACGGATACCAGGACTCCCAGATCCTTAGATCTGGGATTACATAAGAATTAGAAAAGAAAATACACAACAATTATTTGAATTCCTAGTAACAAAATAGTACAAGAACTGAAAAAAAAAAGGCAAACCTGTTTCTGACCACTATATTAAACCAAGTTTTCAAAGAACACTTAACTGTAGCCCTGATGACCACTTATTAGTTACTATTATACTAATAAGGTTACTTCTACACACATTGTTTCAATTAAACAGGAAAGTGATAATTAAAGCCTCTAGAAAATTCACAGCTCTCCCAAGTGCAACTCTCAGGACCATAACTTATAGCTGATTGAGAAGCTGTTTATATAATTAGACATTCTACCAGAATCTAGTATTAGTACTCGACAGCAAAAAAAGTTCTCTTTGCTTGAAAACACACAAATTTTCTTATCTTACACAGTGTCTGAAGACAAAACAGACTTGGATGATCTCAGAGATTACAATCATACTTACAACTGCTTTGATTCAATACACTATTATTCAAAGAGAAATGTGAAAGCCACAAAACACATTCCTTCAGTATTACGCTAAATTTCAAGATCCTTTGATAAAGTCTACAGCTGCCTGTAAATAGGAACTTCAAGGTATTCCAGCTCTGAGAATGGCTGCCATGCTACAGTATTTTTGTCACAGGGTGCTTCAACAGTCCAACCAACAAACCTTTTCATACAGACTATGAGAGAACATTGAATTCCTTGACAGAAAGGAGCAACTGAGTAAGACAAATGTCTTATGAAATATGCATCAGCGTATTTGCTCTAAAGGTTGTAAGACTAATTTTGAGGAACAAGAGCTACAAAGAATCATCTTCTTCATCTGCCTGCTATACAAACTATGTCTCAGAACAAGGATAAGGATTCTAGTTACTACCACAGTTCTGTTTCTTAAGAATATTAACAACAAAGTATAACAAGAAACAAGTCTTACAGTCTGGCTTTCAGGAAAGTCCATTTTCAACAACTTGTGAGCACATTCTTCAAAGTCTAAGCTGCCAAAATAGAAAAAACACTTCTCATTATCTGTGCAATAGGCTACATTAAAAACATTTCAGAATTCTATGAAGATTGATTGTTAGTGCTGAAATTTCAACTGTTCTGAAAAAAAAAAAGCATTCAGAAAGCTGTTTGTTTTGTTGTTGTGGTTTTTAATAAATACTTTTATTTCATGAATTTATGTCTTAAAATTAATTCAAAGTCACTACGTTTGCAGACATTCTGCAAACAGGATCACTCTGGTCATTATTACATCATCTTACAAGACTAAACACAACACAAACATGTGAACTCATTTTGCACATCCTGAAAAACACTGAAATCCAATCACCATGCATAAGCTCTAAAGGCAGTAAATAGTATATACCACACTCCTCATACTTCTGTTCTTGCATTCTGAAAGTCTTTAGTTACCAATAAGTCCCTCCTCCTACTCCAAGCATAAGATGAACAAGCTTAAGTATGACAAGAAAGTATCAAATGGTAACTGAGAAATATAAAAGCCTTTCATACATCTCGATATGGTATCAATATGTTTAATGATTAATACCACAACTACGTTACCTCACTCCTCAATACTGTGAGCCATGCCCACTTTTAATGATGGAATTGAGTGGCATGCAACAGCTTACTCTCTCATTTCACCCAGGTGACACAGGAGTTACACCACCATATTTTGATTATATGTGCCATGTACTGCAAGGGGATTTCATTCTCAAATTGCATACAAATACAGTACACTTCAGGGTTGTTATCTGTGTACTTATTCTCCAAACAACGTAGATGGCAACAGGCCTAAAGAGTTTCATGCTGTCAAACTCCTTAGTCTCAGAAGTGGAGAACTCTACAGCATCTCCACTTTAAGCGTGTCATGCTTTTTGCAGAAATTCTTAAGATGCTGTATAATCTGAAGATTGTTGACTTCTTTTCATTGAGATTTTTCTTACAGCAATCCTCACAGCAAAGACCCAGTGCACTACTAAAACATTTTGAAACAAACTGAAGTTATCTTTAAATGACCAATTGTCAAAAATGTCTGCTTCATATGATTAGGTCAGCCTCCATATAGAACACTTCCCTTTTTGTTTTCTGTTTTGTTTTTTTGTTTTTACTGCACACCTAAGAATTAAAAAAAAAGAGAATTCCAGATCACCCATTTCAAATTGAATTGAAGTCACGTGTACAAACTGTATTATATTTACCTTGATTGAATAGCAAGATAAATTGTACGACGGAACGAGACCAGGTTGATTTCTGTTTTGTCATGGACAGTAACTTTTTGACCTGGGAAAGAAAAACATGGTTTTGTAAAAACCAAAACATTAAGGCAGACATACACAATCTCTTAGAACAGTTCTATTTACTAAGTCTTTAGCACACTATGTAAAGCTTTTTCTAGAAATATTTAGGACTGTTTAGCAAGTTTAGGGTGTTGGGTTTTTTTAACAGAGGAAAAAAAATAATCAGTATTTGTCTCATCTGTAACTAACACACAAACATTTAGAAAGACAGAGGAGGGGAACCCTCCTTTTAAAGACTTTTCACATGGCTTCATCACTGTCTCTGGAATTAATTCTTCTTGTCTACATTATTAGACAAGTATTTTATGCATAATGTAACTACTTCAGCAAACTAGTGAAGAAATCCATCCTTTGGTATTCTACAAGAACAAGACTTGGCTGGCATTTCAATTACTCACACGGTCTGCACAAACATTTCAGTTAGGAACATCCATTTATTTTTTTACCGGGAGTCAAGTACATAATTTGAAAATGTGTAAACACTGACTGATTCCACACTGAAGATAAAGAAAGAGGGCTAAACTGAACTAGGAAGTGAGATAAAGAGGATGCAAAAACAGTTGCAAGAAAACCCATTATGATTTTGAAAGTGGCTTAAAAATACGATGGAGCACTAGAAAGCGCCCAGAAAGGTTGTATTTGCTAAGTGTTAAGTGTTTCACATTTGTTATTTTTCATTGTACACCTGCAAGGCTTTTTCAGGTGAAACGGATACAGTCAAGAACAATCAAAGTTGCTTTTTCTTTTCTGCCTTGGCTGAATGCTTCCTTTCAGACCATTATTTTTATGCTTCTGCTAGTAAACAGATCTGAGAAGAATTTAAGATTAAAACAGACCTTAACATTTAAACATTCTTAGTTTTGCTAAAGTGTAACAAGTTAAGCTTTTCCTTCCTGTTTCATCTACATCCAATCAATCACTAGTGTCTGTCATACACTTACCATCTCCATCCTCCTCTTCATCCTCCTCTTCATCTTCTTCACTACTTCCGCCCTCTTGATCTGCTTCAGATTCACTGTCACCTTCATCAAGAATTTCTGGAAAAGAAGTATTCCAGAGTAAAGGAATATAGATTACAGTAGTTTCATTACCAAAAAAACGTGATCAAACGCTTAAGAGTGAAAGGCCATCTCAGGTGGAGAATGGGGCAGAGCCACTAAAACAGGCATGTCATAAACAAATGAAAATGCAGCTGGAGAAACAATACTTAAGAAAACAGCAGGAATACAAGCCACTGCAATCTCAAGAAAAATTGTGGTGTAATTAGTTTATAAGAAAACATTATGCTTTGAATATGCCAAAAAGGCTTATGAGGAACTGAAAGACAGTTATCTGGGACACAAATCACCCACCACTAAATCATAAAGGTTGGCAACAATAGTTGGATAAATAAACACCCGGTAAGTGCATAACTACATAAATATTATATATGTATGTAAAACGTGTATACACACACCCCGTTACCTTTCTTCAGCATTTTGTATTTCTCTTCATTTTCCATAAAGTTCGGATCCATCTTGAACACATCTTTAGAATAAAAGAGAAACTTTATTTAAAATACAAAATGAAAAGAACAATGGATATTTTATCTTAAATTTGTTTCCATGGGGAATGCAGTCATAGAACTGTCTTCCCTTTCTAACTTACTAAGAACATCCTCTGGGTTGTAGTCATCTTCTAATGGCAACATATGTGTAAACTGATCCTCCTCTTCCACTAGATCTAACCCCTCTGGTATGACTGGATGATCCTTGAAGCCATCCTTCCGTACAGCAAACATGACTTCTATCATATACTGAACACGCATATCAATCTTAGATTCATGCAGAATGTGTCGAAGACGGTCGAAGATGGCTTTGGAAAGAGACAGAAATGAAAATGTGAAAAGTACTTCCTAATAAAAACACCCAAAAGACACATGTTCTGGCTAATTATACTTACCATTGATACCTCTAGGAGAAACTTCTGTTAATTTGAGCCCACTCTCTTTAATAAATCCAATTGCTACTTCAATACTATCATCAGTAGGCCTTTCAAGAAGCAAAGTGAGCATTTCCAAACATAAAACCTCATGAGCCTAAGGAAAGAATATTAGTAAAGAATTAGTATGTACAATGTTACACTATTACAGCGATTTACTTAAAAGCAGTCTGGCCTTTCAGGATGCTACAACACACTTTTTAATCACACACACAAGGCAACTTTAGTGGGACAGAGCTAATTAAGAGGAAGTACACATTTCTAATATGATTTTACCACTGGTATTTACACCAGTTTTGTAGTGAACATGACATGCTACTGAAATGAAAAAGCAAGAAATGAAAAGCACTTTATTATTAAAGAAAAAGAATGCATTTCCAAGGTGCAAATGAAACACCACTTACATTACAGAAATGAGCTCTAAGTGCATTGTGTCTATAATTAAAACAGGCCTTCCAGGATCATGAACATAATGGCACATCTCTGCTTAAGTCTCCTCTTTACCAAAATGCTGTATATTGCCTATGCATCCTGCAACACTTAAATTGGAGCATCCTAATTTCTAACACACAAGAGGCATGGAGCTGGATACTAATTTGATTTAGATGCAACTGCATCTAGTTCTGCCAAAACAGATGTTTAAGTCAGACAACAGTGTTGCAAGAAAACTCTGCTATCTCGAAACTAAAGGAATAGCCATATAGGATTTGGATTGAGTAGAAAAATGAAGTAACATACCACATTCTGATTCATCAAATGTGCAACAAATTTTGAAGATGTTAGACAGAGTTGCTGCAAAAGAAATAAAATAGGAATTTTAAACACATCATATATGGAAGAAAAAGTCTGTAACTTAGAGATACTCATTACAGATGTGTGCATTTCACAAACTATGAAACTATTTTGGGATATGGATACTGTTCCTAATTAGGGCTGTACACTTGAAAAAACCCCGAACAAAAACTATCACAGTACCAACCCAGAACAGTCTGTCAAGCTTTTATGTAATTTGAACACACTTGACGCAAGGTTAACACAGCAGAATTACAAGTTTTCGCATGCAGCTTCTTTACATTATACATACCTTATCATTTCTTCGATATCCTTTGCGAAAATTCAGTATCAACCTCTTAAGAATCAATTCACCAATATTTGGAAACTTTGAATTGATAATTGCCACAAGAGCTGCATATACATGGGTAAAAATTGGAGAGGCACTCTGAGCTTGCAAAATGGATCTAGATAGCAATCCCCTGTAAATACAAGTAAGTTTAAGATGCTTCCGGTAATAAAACATTTAGTATTTTTATTAAGTACATTTCAAATAAAATAGTAAATTTGAAATAGTCAGAAGATACCAGGTGATAATTTTTAAACTGCTGTTTATCATGTCACAATTGGGGTTTTGCAAAATGTGTTGCCAAAATGTATGAGCTGAAAAATTCTTAAACTGATACCGTATCTTTCATTAAGCAGTTCCTATCGTAAGTTCATTTGAAGTGTACAAGCCAGTCTTCATCTTGTATCCTACAACTGGCTTTTTTAACCCTAATGCAGGCTACTCTTAGCTTTGAAATTTCTATGATTGTGCTATTTCTTTTCCTCATTTGAAAAATAATCCTGATTGTAACAGAAAAAACATCAGCTTTCAGATGGTTAAAAAAACCAACACAGAATTGTGTTCTATTATAATGGTGACTTAAGCAAAACAAGCTTCTAAGAAATAAGAATTGCATTTCCATAAAAGGTCTCTGACAATAAAGATCTACCTAGCAGTAATAAAACTGAATGTCCAGTACAAGCAGGATGAATAAAGTAGTGCCTTCCAATGCTTTTCTCAAACCAAATTGTGTACTTTCAACATATTTTGGATGTGAGAACTGACTAGAAAAGACTACTACTTAAAGCCTAAATGTAGACACAAGGGTCACGAGATAACAGTTTTTTTATTACACTAACAGTCTCTCTTACATTTATATAACGACTAACATCTGAAAAGAATCAGAGCCTTTTCTCCAACCCAGTTTTGCTTTTTCTAATGCTTTAGCACATAGAATTTTACTTTTGCTGAGTTACTCTATTTCAAATGGTTGGGTGGGGGGGAAGCCCTCCAAATATGAATCTTCAAAGTGTACAGTGGTATACAAACCTTTATTTTCTCTGTGGTCTACTGAAATATTCCAAAACACCTCCTGCATGGTACTAAATACAAACTGCATAAGGACCTTATTCCTACTTACTTTGGAGGTGTAAAACAGCGTAGAACTCTTTTCTTACTAGTACACAAAACCAGAGTATTGCCTTTTGAAACCATCAGTTACTTCTCACAAACTGGAACTGGTCTGGTTCACATCCTATTTATCCACCGCTTAGAAAACTCAGAAAAGCACTTAACAGCTAGGTGAAGCTTACTGTAATTACTGTTATATGTATCTTTGTGAGAATTTGGAAGTAAAAATTAACTGTAAGAAGGGAAATGGTGACACTTTCCATCTACACTATTTTTAAATTTATCAGCTTATAAGTCACACACAAATATTACACATTAGAACAATGTAGCCTAAGGTTAATTTTAAAATCTGACTAACATTCCTACACTACACTTAGCACACAGAGTGATGTACACACGACCAGCATGCATACTGGCAGAAAAGCAAAAGGGTTTTTTTTTTAAATACTAGGACTTACCTTCCACGAACAATATTTTCCTGAAGCAGCTCATGAATGATATTTTCTATGTTAGAAACGTTCACTTTATTGACAAGACCATTGATTGACTTCTTAAGGGCTTCCCAACTCATCCTCTGATATGCCAAGCTATTACAAGGGTATAAAAATTATTAATGCCTAAATTTGAAGTAGCATTGAGTGAATTTATATACATAGATCTCTCAAAATGCGAATGTTAACTTTAATCACTAAAACAGGTAAGAAAATACTCACTGCTGAAATGTGAGGACTAGTTCACAACTACACATTTAACTACTAGGAAATCAATGAACCAACATGATACAGCAAAATGTAATTCCTCACAAATATGGTACAACTCAGTATATTTAGTTTTCCAAGATATTGCAAAAAATGCCTGGTTATGTTCTGTACCTCATTTTTCCATTTACAGCAGACATTGGTACAGTCATAATATTGACACTCTTACCTTTCTTCTGATAAAGATATACTTTCAGAAGAACTATCATGGCCCTCAAAAGGCATCCCATTTTCACCAACATTCACTAAAATCCTTTACTGTTTTTGCTTTTCAGTAAAAATTGTAACACATTACTTTCACCTCACCTGTTTTTATCAGTAATTTGCTCTTGCATCATCCTGAGCTTGGCAGGTGGAATGTATGCACCGCCTGTACGAGTAAGGATTGGATCCACTTCTTCTTTCTTCTTCTTTGAAGCTGCCTCATCATGAGCAAGTGAGCTCTGGCCTGTTGACCTCTCTGGACTCCTATGGTCAGGCGATGAGTATCTTCTCTGTCTCCTTCGATCAGATTCCCTCTCTTCCCATTTCTCATGGTGTCTCTCTCTCCCCCTTTCCATCCTTCTACAAAAAAACCCAGGAAAACACAACCTAAACATCAAGAGTTCATGAAAAGCTTTCATTTTATTCTTTGAAATAAGTATTTTATTAATGGTTAAGGAAGGGCTTGATACCTTCCTTCTGAAGCTCTGTCATCATAGTATTCCCTTCTAGAATATTCCTGATCATATCTGCTGTCATCAGAGTGTCTTCTTCTTCTGGGAGATGGAGACCTGTCACGCTCTGTATCCCTATTCACAACACAAGACACAAATTCTTAGTAATAGGCTTAGAAAAGCAATGCTATTAATATCTACTTGCAAGACAATGTCAGAATATAGATCTGTTCCACTTCTGCAACCTGAGTGTCAATAAACACATCATTCAAATAAAAGATGCTCCTTTCGTAACAACTTGTCAGCAAAAAATTACAAGGAAAAAAAAAGCACAGTAAAAGGAAGCTCCTCTTAGCACTTAAATGTTAAATGGCAATAGCATCAAATACCAAAAAAATTCAGCACCGTGCACTTCCTGAAACATAAACATCCATTTGCTTCATCTACTTTTGCCCACATACCCTAAGACAGAATAGACACAAAAAACCCCTGTACTGTATTTAGTACAAGAGGTTTCTTTCCAATTAAAATATGAAATTAAAAGTAAAATGTTAACAGTTCATCTCATGCCTTGGCAGAATGCGCTTCAAATTATACTTCTCCACCTCCTGCTGGCATCAGTAATCTTGCTTTAAAGTGCTAACTGTGGCACCAGCAAAATGAGAGTGCAAACAAAAACTGGCATCTAATTTCCATTTTCAAGCCCCATGACAATTTAAGAGAATGGAAAGCTAAAAAAATTTTTAAGACTTAGTTTTAATAACAAAACCATTTAATTACTGTTACATTGACATGCAAGTATTTTATTAAACCTACATTTATTTTTCATTGCTCAGTTATAGTTTTTTTTTTAATGTATCTAACTCACTATGTGAACTATATATTCAGAACTGTAGGATATAAACATGAATCACTTTACCTGTCCTCTGGAGACGAACTTCTTTGGTGAGAACTGTAGTTTTCCCTCCTTTCATTACCAGAAACATGCTTTAAGAAAACAGAAAGAAAAATATAAAGTACCAACATTATGTATTACTGTGAGCACCTGTATCTTGAATTTAAAGTGTTCCCCACTCCTTTAAAAGAAGTAAAGGCTGTCAAATAAAACTAATGACAGTCAGTTATGACAAAGAGAGCTGGTTCTATATAATAAGTAGTTAAGCAGCTGGAACCTTGCTACGGTTGCCCTGCTCCTTAACTATTCAAGGCATCTGCTGCACATTACTGCTGGAGATGAGTAGATGAACCTCCAGTCTGCCTTTCCTGCTTCCTTCTTCCATATGCCATTTTACATTTTGTTGCATCACGTGTCTAGGTTATTGTACTCTACTGGGAGAGTTAGACTAGATGATCTCTAGAGGTCCCTTACAACTCCATCGATTCTGTGATTCTACCACTTCTTGTTTGAAGAGTGTGTTTCCTCTCTCCTAAAGATGGCCTGTATTGCATAATTTCTCCTTACCTTCCTCCTTTTTACTAACTGTGATTTATTTTCCCATGAGTCACTCCTAGCTTTGCATATTATAAACATCTGAGTTACACTGTTCCACTTGACAGATCCTGGAAATAAATTTAATCCCAGATTTTTTTGAAATGTAATTCTGGAGGATTGTTTAGTGAAAGTGATACAGATTAAAATAGTTCACAGCAAACTCTGGGGGCTGAACCATGACATATTTCTAGATGCAGTCACACACAAAAATGAGGGCATGACAGTATCTACAACATACACAGAAAGATATTCACTTCATCAAGATGTTTCAAAACTACCTTGGTACAGCTAAGCAGCAGCTTTTATGACCTTTGCACTTTAATTGCAATGGTCTTCTCTTACCTTAAAATATTATGATTTTTCAGAACTGCAATTTCATGTTATCAGCCAGTGATCAGTTGTGTAACAAGTAACACTTCACCTTGATGCATAAACTCATTGCAAGGACTCGCTCATGCATCTTGACTAAACTTTCTGCAGAAACACACATCTAATCTGTTGAAGTGGCATTCTGTCCATTAACGTGCTAGTACACTAGTTTTTGCTCCAGCAAAGAACCAGTGAAAACTGTTGGTTAGTAGATACAATGACGCCTCCTTCATAAGCAGACCCTGATGGACAGTTATACCAAATGATCTCCAAAAACTTAATTGGAAAGAAAATTATCTTTACTAAATGGCAAGCGTGTTGCTTCTAATGAGCTGTGCAAGTAAACCCAACATGAACTGCAGTTTCCTAAGTAATAGCAACACAAAGACTGAAAGCATCATCCTATCAACAGACTAATGAGGTTGACTTGCTCTGACACAAATTCAGGGGTTTGTATACACATACATATGTTTTTGAGGCCACCATACGATATCCAAGAATATCACCCTCCTTAGGATACATTTCTAATACTGTTGAAATTATTCCCAGTATTATCTTGCCCAAACCAAGAAAATTATACCAAACAAATGTATTGCACTGGGAGTACACATCCCTACATAAGTAGGGTCCATCTCACAATTTAGGTCCAGAGTAACAATACCTTTGGTTTAAAAGCTAGTACAAGAAACTCGTATTTTCAGCAAGGTTTTCTTCTTCTTTCAGTACTCATTTGTGGGACTATACAGTTCAGTAGATTACTGAAATGGCTCAAGATTAAAGAAGTCCTTAAGTCGCTAGTTTTTCCCCAAAATAATACAATGCAAGATTCTATCCTAAGCTTCCAAGAAAGCAGTAAGAAAACTTTTTGAAAAACACAGAACAGCTACTGTATGTAAATAACAGCTAATATAACTATCCCTCAAGCATTAAAAACCTATTAAAAACCACTCTACTCAGAAAAGTAGGAAGCAGAAGAGTGAAGAAGCCTATGCAGGGTCAAACTCTAGAAACACAGGCAGAGAAACACCACAGATTTAAGACAGTGCATGAGAGAAATATTGCTCTGCTAACCTGTCCCAAATTTAGTGTAAATTACAAACATGGCATTTCTAAATCATCGTATTAGGAGAGTAAATTTAAAGGAATTTTTTTTCTTCTTGCATAATAAAAATCACTCCCATGCATTTAGAATTGTACCACACAACTTTTAAAAGTGAAAGATTTAAGTTTCACAGTAAGAAATACAGTTGCCACATTAATTACTACGTCCTGTCTCTTTAGTTTCTCATTTTAACATCGTTGCTAACTTTTCAACACCTGTTTTCTCCTGTCGATGATGGAGATTGTTTGATTTATATTCAGGGCTTTATTTAACATCAACTACAAACCTAAACACCAGCAACCAGGGAATAACAGAACCCTAAAGTTTAGGTTTAAGAACACTTACATTGACTTGTGTCACCCTGCTCTTCATCTTGACTTCCTACTTTTTCCGGAGTTCTGACTGCAGCAGAACGACACAATCCAAGATGGAGTTCAGTGCATGAATAACATCTCACCTGCAACACACAGAAGACAATGAAAAACTTAACACTGCACACAGCGCAGGCCCCTGCGCCCTTAGTACGTTCTTTAAGCTTGCGTACTCCTTACAACAAAGCCAACCGCCCCCGGTCAGAGCTCTTACGGTCACACAGGTACGGGGGAGGCCCTGCTTGGGCACTTCACACGCACCGCGGCTGCGCGGGGACCCGGCGGACAGGCCGCGGCGGGAGCTGCC